TGAATGTTGAATGTGATTCCGCTCATTGGCTTCAAAAACTTTTAACTGATCTTCAATGCCTGTAAAGCCAACTTGATAATATGATTCTACCTAGGAAGACAACACTGGTTCCAATGAAGAAATAATCTGCTCAAGAGGTTGGGAGAATAGCACCACTAACTGGGAGAACCTTGGTGGGAACAAGAACCAGTCTAGTGAAGAGAAGGACTAGGCGTGACATGATAGCAGAGTTCCAATATTTCAGGGGCTGTCACAGAGAAGAGACAAGCTATTTTCCAAAGCACCTGAAGGCAGGACAAGAAGCAATGGATGGAAACTGATCAAGGAGAGAAGCAACCTAGAAATAAGGTGAAATTTTCTGACAGTAAGGACAATTAACCAGTGGAACAGAAGTTGCCCTCAGAAGTTGTGGGTGCTTCATCACAGGAGGCTTTCAAGAAGGACTGGATAGCTATTTGTCAGAAATGGTGTAGGGTCTCCTACTTGAGCAGGGGATTGGACTACATGACCTACAAATTCCCTTCCAACTCTGTTATTCTAAATAATTCAGATGTGACCGCTGGATCTAGTCTACATAATGGAAGATCAGAGAATGTGATGAATAGGAGAAGAAAGCAATGTTGTTAGTCAAGAACATGCAACCATTCACTGATTTACAGAATGACAACTACTTAGATCAGAGGTCCCCAACTTTTTGGGCACCAGGGACCGGTTACACGGAGAAAGGTTTTTCCGCGGACCGGAGGGTGCGTGGTTTTGTGTGCTGTCTGCATCCCATGGATGGGGCTTTGCTTGTTTATGCAGACTGGTTGCTGGCATGGTGCGGCCCAGTACCCATCCACGGACCGGGGTTTGGGGACCCATAACTTAGAGGACTACTATCTAAAGCTGAATGTATATCAATAGATATTCGTAAATATCCTAAGCCCAATTAATAGGCTGAAGGATAGGATATGGAATTTGATGTAGTCTATCTGCCACAAAGTGAAGGAAACAACAGTAGTTTTGTCTGATGGATATGTGAATTCAGTTAATCGATAATTTATTAAGCTCACTGGGCAGAATTATATAATGTTAAACAATGAAAGTTAAATGAAATAAGGAGAGAAATAAATGAGTAGTAGTACTAATAGTAGTTCCAAAGTCCACATTTCACAGAGAGGACCACTGATTTGAAAGAGGGGTCAAAGAGGCCATCTAGGTCAAAATTGAACAGCTCTCTCTGAACAGAGAGGGAGGGATACGACACCATCGATCTCCAGTCTACAACACAGTCCTTTCAGCAGCTCCAAGAGGACTCCACACCATTTGCACCACTCAGGTGACCCTGAGGATACAGACAAATCCCCAAGTGGCTTCAATGACTCTGTAAAAGAAGGCAAATGACCAGCTGTCTACAAGGAGTATAAATCCTTCCATTCCCCACCATCCAGTCAGAGCTGAAGAAGCTTCTTGGATGAGAAGTGAAACATCTTCAAAGAAAAACAAGGAAGTCCAGTTGCCTCGTGGAAAAAAAAGCATCTTTGGGACAAATATGACCTGGATGACTGAGACTCTCCATAGACATTTACTAATAGTAGTAGTAACCAAGTTATAATTAAAGTAAACCATAACACCATATTCATAAAAATGCCAATATACTGGGAACGAAACAAAACATAACCCGTTGAATTACAAAATTAGATTATTTAGGCTTTTGCTCCAAGCAAAACTCAAGTCAGTCTCAAGGAAAGACCTCTTCCAAAGGATTTCGGAACAGGGTTGACAAGATCAGGAAAATTGTTCTGCATTTTCTGAAAATTATGACCGCCTGCCCCTTTCCCTCAAGACTGATACCAATGAAACAGGCTGGTGTAGCAGCAAAGAACCCCCAAACGAATGTCTCTGTACTTTGGCCTTTATTTTAAGACCTTAATCCAGAACCTGAAGACACCTTTATGGAAAGGAAGAACGAGATTCTATCTACTTCCTGCTTCAGACATTTTTAACACGGGGACATGGAAAGAGCCCTGGTGGCGCAGTGCTTAGAATGCAGCACTGCAGGCTAATTCTGCCCACTGCCAGCAGTTCGAACCTGACCGGCTCAAGGTTGACTTGGCCTTCCATCCTTCTGAGGTCAGTAAAATGAGGACCCAGATTGTTGGGGGGCAACAGGCTGACTCTGTAAAACCACTTAGAGAGGGCTGTAAAGCACAGTGAAGTGGCATATAAGTCTATGTGCTATTGCTATGTGCCTGATCAAGATAAAACTTCATTCGATTTATACAGTATTTGATCTTTCTTTCAGGAGCTCCAAGTGGTGTGTTCTCATTTCTCCTATTTTTCCCCCCATGAAAATAAGCCGGGTTGGTTGGGTAGTTTTCAGGATTAGGAAAGGGGTGAATAGTTTTACACTATTAGTGTAAAACATTCACCCCTTGCCCACTTGGTTCCCAGATATCTGATCCCAGCCTTCCTTTATGTAAAGTGGAGCATGTAAGACAACAGTTTTGCCAAACTCCACCTTGATAAAAAGAAGCAGAGATTCAACGGATGCTTGTTTCCATTTCTTTCTTTCATTTTAAACACAAAGCCGTGTGTTTGTGTGAACATGCCAGGCTTGTAAAACAAGGGAACTGTCACATTTTAAACCCATCTTGGGAAAGTTAGCTTAACCGTAGCTCCTGCAAAGTTGGTTTCCACAAATGCATAATGGCAGGTGTGTCATACTTGAACTAAATGCTTTTTTAAAATGGAGCTGAAATTATTTCTGAAGTGTGAGGTTTCCCTGGAAAATATATATGTATACAGTATATATATATATTTCCCCTACAACCTTTCAGAAACAGATTCCATCTGAAAGCTTCAGTTGCTTCCTGTCCAAGCCTCATTAACTATTCCAATGTTCTGATGACTTTAAAAGATATATGGCTGTATATGTGCAAAAAATAAAATAAAATAAACAACCCTTGCTTGACTAAAAAAAAAAGATAAATGAATGTAGAAAGACGCTGTCTGGAATCTGCAAAGCTGTAGATCATCTTAGAACAGATTGTAACTTTATCATTTTGTCAGGAAGAATAATTTAGGGCCCTTAATCCGTTAGCTTTGCAGTGCAGGGTTTTCACATGATGAATTCCTATCGGCCAATCTGTTCCAATCAGAGCAAAAGTTAATTAGAGACCCGAGGAATTTAGTAGCGCCTGCCTTTCCAATGGAAAGGAACGTAGAGAAAGAAAGAGGTCCACCAGCAAAATAAAACTGACTTGTAACGAAATGCACAGGGGAGAAAACCTCTACGTGTCATCTACATTTCTCATTTACGTAGCTTGATGAAAACTTTGCAGAAGTTCTCAGCCAGTTCTGGTTACAAAGTCGGTCAATATGTCACCAGACCAGGAAAGATTTCTTTGAATGTCAGGCAGATAAATCACTGGATTGGCTGCTATGCCCGGCTGTTCCTTCCACACGCAAGGTCTTGTGTAAAAGCCGCAAAGGAGTTCCTTTCCAAGCAATTGCTTAGACAATGGCTGAGGCTAAAAAATGGCCCCTTATGGGCAACATGGCTAGTCTGGAGAACTTGGGTTCATCAGTCAGGCAATTCTGGTGATGCTGGCAACATATTGAAAGCAAAGGGAAAGGGCCCAACTCACACTTTCTCCAAAGGATATACCTATTTCATTGATTTGAGTCAGTGAAAATGGGCTCCGTTTTTTTTCCTACCCATTCTATCTCTTTCGGTTGATTTTTTTTTTTTTTGCTTCCAGCCTATTTCTGGTTCTCCTATCACTTGTCCATGTGTTAACCAGAAAATCTGTTCCAACCTGGGTATTAGAATTAATGTTCTGATTAAAAGGCATGTAGATAAGCATTTCCTACACACACACACACACACACACACACACATATAGAAAGAGAGACAGACAGATAGACAGGCACACAGACACACCCATATGTATATGTATATGGGGAATGGAATGGAATAGATGAATGGAATGGAACAGAACAGAGTAGAGTAGAGTAGAGTAGAATATAGACTAGACTAGACTAGACTAGACTAGACTAGACTTGACTAGAATAGAATAGAATAGAATAGAATAGAATAGAATAGAATAGAATAGAATGGAATAGATTGTTGGCTAAGTATGATAGACACATAAGGATTTGTCTCCAATGCATAAGTTCTCAGTATACATGAAAAATAGCAAAGTAATAATAATCATAATTTCAAAGTAATAATCAATTGCAAGGAGGCTTAGCCTTCTATGGCCATTTCCCCCAAACTCCACGTATGTTGTGTGTAGTTGTTGTTGTTTTTTTTTGGTGAGAGCATGAGATAACTCTGGTCACCAAATGGCCATTTTCAAATGTTGTCAGTATCAGCAACTATATACTTCAACCATTCAAGCACCTCAAACCACTGAATTCTCCCCAGTGGGCAAAAGAAAACAAGATTAACAATATTCAGCAATATTGGAATTCCCAAAGACCTTGTTTCATTTTTTCAGGGAAATTTTAGCGTGGCAAAATGCATTCCTGTCCTGATCACCTCAACCAGGTAGTGTTCTCCACAAAGTCAAGCTATGGGCAGTTTACTAACCAGGTTAGAAGCTCCCCTTTTGGTCCCCTTCCATAATTAAGTCAACCTCCTGCCAGCTCTTTTTAACTCTTTGCCTTCAAGCTAGCCAGCTTTTCGTCCTTTCATCTCTAATCCATGTTCTCAGGCTTATGAAATCTATCGCCCTTCACCCGCTAGTCATTACTCAAAGTCGCTTCCTATCGGTTGCTTTAAAACACCTCACAACACAGCCTAAAATGCACTTTTCTCCACTGCTTTTGGCTTGGCACTAATTTAAGCTTCTCTCTCTCTCTCTCTCTCTCTCTCTCTCTCTCTCTCTCTCTCTCTCTCTCTCTCTCTCTCTCTCTCTCTCTCTCTCTCCCTCCTTCCCTCCCTCTCCCTCTTTCTCTCTCTCTCTCCCTCCCTCCCTCCCTCTCTCTCTTCCCATGTTTCTACTCTTTAGCAGAAAAGAAATGGTTTACAGATGAATCGGATAACGCCTATCCCAGAAACATTCAAATCAAGCCCATGACCACCCACGTAGCAAATCACATCAATCACTATAAGTCTACAAGCAGCTTGATTCCACCAATCAGAGAAGTCGAAGACGAATGTTGACTCCTAGAAGGACAGGACAATCTGTGTGTGGTTTGTTTGTTTTTTAAAAAATAAAAAATAAAAAAGAGAGAGAGAGAAAGAGAGAAAAAAAAAGACACCTGACGGACTTCGTGAACGGTGATATAACATTTATTCCTCTTTCATGCTGAACCTTTGGTGGGAAAAGTGAAAGTCTAGTAGACAGATCTTTGTTTGTCTGCCTTTAATATTTGCTTCCATGTATTTTGGAAACTCTTTTCATTTATATATGAACATAATAAAAAAAAAGTCATGTATAGTCTCTAGCATTTTAAATTATTTTTATTTATTAGAAAGATGATATATGATGAATATATTTCTTTATTCATTCTCAAGTATTTTCCCTTAAAGAGAACAGCTGAAGATTGTGGCCGGACTCCATATATATATGTGGAGAATGATGGTGACAAATTGAAGCAAAAATGTAATTAAGAGAGAGAAATAATGTATTTTAAACAAGTCCACTTGTATTTTAGTAAATCAAAGAAGAAGAAAAAGAAGAGTTACTAAAATGTTTTTTTTCTGGAAGACATGTATTTTGTTTAGCGTTGACACCAGCTCTTAATAAACTAAAGTTTATTTATTTTGGGGGAAAAAAAGTGGAAATGTCCTATTTTTATAGAAAGAATATTATTCTGGAATTATGAATCTATAAAGGCAAACCTCCCACTCTGGTGCCCTCCAGATGTTTAGGGATCCTAACTCCCCCACGGTGGAAGACACTAGGTGGAGAACGACTTTCTTACTTTCTTTCTTTCGTATTGCTCACGGATTTTCATAATGGAATCTTCCAATCAAATAATTGCACAACAGGCACATTCGGTCAACAAGTTATAGGGAAAAAAATATCAATGCAACATTTGTATGGTCTTCCCAAAGTGCTTTTCCAAAAGGCAACTTTTGGACTTCTTTGGTTGTTGTTTTTCCTTGAAAACATTTTGCTTCTCCATCCAAGAAGCTTCTTCAGCTCTGTTGAGTTAGTTCAGAACTGAAGAAGCTTCTTGGATGAGAAGCAAAATGTTTTCAAGGGAAAAGAAGAAAAACAAAAAACCAAGGAAGTCCAACTGTCTTTTGGAAAAGCACTTTTGGGACAACCATGACCTGGATGATTGAGAATCTCCATAGACGTTTGGTCTCTATTTCTTCCAGAAACCTGTAGAAATTTCTTTCTGTAGCTTTCTGGTGAGTATCATCAGAAGATCTCAAGATGAAGAGCAATTAACCACGTCAATTGAAAATTTCTCCACAAGCTTCAGAAGGTATTTGCAGCCTAATCTCATTTTTTTTAAAAAAAAAAAGATAGGCTTTTCGTTGACAATGAGGCTTCACAGAGTGATTTATGTTAATCTAGCAAAAAGCTGAGGTTGGCCATGCACCCTGAAAAGTGACAACATTTGTGGTGACGATCTCAGGGGTGTCTTGTGTTCCTAATGGCAGATTCCAGCTTCTCAGCCATAATACATGCAGATGTTGATCAAGCTCTAACTGTGATGCACACACTACGATCCAGACGTTGCTTATGCTAAGCCACAGCCACTTAATTTCTATTTATTTTTTTTTGAAATCAACTATTTAATTTCCAAATATTTGGAACTCTGCCCATCACAGTGACATCAAATGAAGCATCAGCGTAGTAATAAAGAATAAGGACTATCTTTGATGTCAGGAACACAAAGCGTTTAGAAAAGGCTTAGACTCAGAGCTTTTCTTCCTCAAAATGGTGGACGACCTCTCTAGCCATTAGACAAAATTGTGGTGTTTCATATCTGTGTTGCAAAAGATAGTTACTCCAGCATTCGAGGCTGTAAATAATTCAGCAACTCTCCAGTTTAAATTATGTACTCCTGACCTGGATCCATGTAGACAGACCAATTCTTGAAGAAAATGGCTACAATAAGACCGAGGTCAACGATGGCACCAGGTCACACCTACTACACAAGCTCAGCTTTGTAATTGTGCAAAGTGTAAACCTGAAATCAAGCATTTTGTGATATTGTTATCATTAGAGTAAATGCCAGTGAATCAAATCAGCACTGTATGATCCAGTATCTTAACCAAAAATTATTTCAGCTTTAATGTTGGTCTACTAGTTGCAAGACAAATATATTCTTATTTTGTCCTAATAGGCTGAATTCCAGAGTGGCTCCTTCAACTGTGACCTACTCTGTTGTTAAGTTTTGCAGAATGATTTATTCAAACGTACAAACAAAAACGAGACTGGTGAATACAATGCATGGAGAACTGAACGGTTTGATCAAAAGCACTTATTGCATCCTCTCTTTTTTCTCTCCTGAAAATCAACAATGAAGTGCAGTTTACTTTAGCCATATCACAAGACCCACGTGGAGGTGGGTCATACTTTGGGGGAATCTTACCACTGTAAAAATATGGGCAGCTGGCAAGGGGGTCTTTTTTGGTTTTTGCATTAGGCATGTTTTCAAAGGGCACAATCCATGAGGCGGTTGTGGAAAAAGGACACGGATGGTGTCAGTTTCTATACTCCTTTTTCATTCATGAACTGAAAGCTATAAAATGATAACACGCTTTGATATGATAATATATTCGATCTTTAGAATGTTGGCTCTGGGAGCGAAGCATATAGAAAATCGGTCAAAAGATTAAAATCGGTTAAAAAGATTGTTGAGTTATTTGTTGAATTTATATAGCCACCTTTCTCTGGGCAATTATAATAGCAAAAAGTGTAACACTATCCGAGCAATGACGACACCCAAGCCCCCCCCTCTCTTTCACTCCCTCTCGTTTTGAACACAAAAGTTAAAACATGGCACTTGAGTCGTGATGGCGACACTCGCCAATCAACAATAGAGATGTACAACGTTTCGATTCAGTTATGTCAGTACACCTGTCCAAAAAGAGGGCAGGCTAGAATTACAGTAGCAGCCTCTTGACTATATTTATTTCTAAACTTTGTTAATGATTCTGAAGGACTTGACGTGGTTAGGATAGGAAGATAGATCTCCCTCCCCATTCTGTGAGTGGAGAAGAAATAAAAAAAAAAGTTGGGTGAACACAGCTTTGCTTAAGGCAGTGTTTCTCAACCTTGACAATTTTAAGGCATGTGGACTTCAACTCCCAGAATTCCACAGCCAGCAATGCTGGTTGTGGCAAAGAGTGGCTGGCCTGAGCACACACCATTCAAGGTTGAGCCAATTCGGAGTTGCCTTCACCTTGAACCTCCATAATCACCATAGCATTTCTCCTCCAGTTCCATAAAAATCTCTTCAGCCATGATTGGAAATTTATGCTTCAGGGTTTTTTTGACTTACAGTTCTGTTTCGAACAAAATGATCCTCAATTCGTCCCTGTTTAAGGGGTCTTGGATGCTGTCTGAGTTTGGTTGTTTTCCTGCAGATGTTTCATTAGGTAGGTAATGTCATCAGGACTAGCCCTGAGGATGTTACCTCGCTGGGTAATGAAACGTCTGCAAGAAAACAACCAAGCTCAGAGAGCACCAAGGACTCCTCATTTTAACCCCGAGCTATAAATATAAATATTCTTTCTTGGCTGTTTTGGAAAAGTCAAAGGAGGGAGATGTCTTAGGCTAGCTCATGACACTTCTTTCTTTTCCCCATAACTAGAATAGAAGAGAGCTGGAAGGGACCTTGGAGGTCTTCTAGTCCAGCCCCCTGCTCAAGCAGGAGAACCTACACCATTTCAGACAAGTGCCTGTCCAGACTCTTTTAAAAAATCTCCAGTGATGGAGTGCCCACAATTTCTGAAGGCAACTTTTGTTCCACTGGTTAATTGTCCTAACTGTTAGGAAGTTTCTCCTTAATTCCAGGTTGCTTCTCTCCTTGATCAGTTTCCATCCATTCTTTCTTGTCTTGCCTTCTGGTGCTTTGGAAAATAAGTTGACCCCCTCTTCTTTGTGGCAGCCCCTCAAATACTGGAATACTGCTATCATGTCTCCCCTATTTCTTCTTTTCTTTAGACTAGCCAAACCCAAGTCCTACACCTGTTCTTCCTATGTTTTAGTCTCCAGGCCTTGGATCTTAGTTGCTCTCCTCTGAACTTTTTCCAAGGTCTCAACATCTTTCTTGTGATAGGGTGACCAAAATTGGCTGCAGTATCCCAGGCGTGGCCTCACTAGGGTTTTATAAAGCGGTACTGATGCTATCAATTCCACACAAAATCATTTATTTCTGCATTTGTCTCCACTATCATCTCATCCAGGCCTTGTTAATTAAGTCAGAAATAGGTCCAGTAAAGATGCTAACAAACTAATAATGTGATAAGACGGAGAGGAGTTGCATGTAATGGTGTGTTCCTGGTCTTTGGATTCCTCCTCTTTGGAAAGTTACGTTTTATGAATGTTTATCAAAGTAAGTTGGGAATTTTGCATGAGAAACAAGAGGAAACAAATGTGTGGGTTCCTCATTCCTTCATTTCATAATATATTTTACTCATTGCATCTATATTTGATAGAACTGGTGAAGGGTTTTTGCAGACCCCACACAGATGTATTTCCTTTCAGTGATCAATCCTGCCTTTTTCGTTGGAAACTGGGCTTAATTATGTTCAGGAAGACCTCGACATACGACCACAAATGGAGCTCAGAATTTATGCTGCTATGTGAGACATTTGTTAAGTGAGCTTGGCCCCCATTTTACGACTTTTCTCGCCACAGTTGTTAAGGGAATCGCTCCAGTTGCTAAATTAGTCACACGGTTGTTAAGTGAATCTGGCTTCCCCCTGTTGACTTTGCTTGTCAGAAGGTCGCAAAAGGGGGTCACATAACACCCCCCCGGGACACTGCGACCGTCATAAGTACAAGTCAGTTGCCAAGCATCTGAATTGTGATCACGTGATTGTAGGGATGCTGCAACGGTGTGAAAAACAGTCATAAGTCAACTTTTTCAGTGCCATTGTAACTTTGAATGGTCACTAAATGAACTGTTGTAAGGCGAGGAGTACCTGTAATCAGTGTCTCCTTTCAGGTTTACTCCTAATTTTTGCAAGGTGCTCACCACAGCCATGATGGCCCAGTGGTTGCAATACAGTACTGCAGGCTAATTCACTACCCATAGCCAAGAGTTTGATCCTGACTGACTCAATGTTGACTCAGCTTTCCGTCCTCCCGAGGTCAGTAAAATGAGGACCCAGATTGTTGGGGGCAACAGCCTGTAAACTGCTTAGAGAGGGCTGTAAAAGAACTATGGAGTGGCATATAAGTCTAAGTGCTATTGCTATTGCAGGCTAACTCTGCCCACAGCCAGGAGTTCGATCCTGACCAGCTCAAGGTTGACTCGGCCTTCTGTCCTTTTGAGGTCGGTAAAATGAGGACCCAGATTGTTGGGGGGCAACAGGCTGACTCTGTAAACTACTCAGAGAGGGCTGTAAAGCACCGTGAAGTGGTATATAAGTCTTAAGTGTCGTTGCCATCTCATTTCTTTCATGCCTGTAACTTGGATGAAAAGCATATCACTGTATTGTCTGATTATCTTTCATTTTAAGAGATTAGGACTGGGTGGCATATTAAACTGCTAAATAAATGAGCAGAGAGGAAAGCCCAAACTCATTCATGAAAGTGGATTCTCGGAGCGAACTGAACGCAGG